ACCTGTGACGTCAACCTTGAAGGTCAGCTTCTGGCCAGCAGCCTCGCAGGTGTACTCGCCAGCATCTTTCTTTTCCACCTGACCCACCACCAGCCGCCGCGATCTGCCCTCTGACTCCACCTTGAACTTCTTGCTCGAGGTGATCAGCTTCCCCTCCTTGTACCATTTCACCTCGGTCTTCTCCTGGGCCACCTCGCAGCTCAGCGTGGCGTTCTCTTTGAGGGCTGCCTGCACCTCCTTCTGCACCTTGTCCTTGTTTGTAAAGACATCTTCGGGCTCTGAAAAGGGAGATGAATTCAAAGTGCATCCTTGATCTAAAGCTTCCTAAACCCTGTATCATGGCTTACAAGGGAACACTGGAAACCACCTCTCCGACTTGACAGTACGCATCTAGAGCTTTTGGGAGAACATGTGCATTGTGATTTCTTTCTTTTTTTTTTAAAGAATCTTTTACTTACTTTGTCATTAATCAGGCAAAAAATTAATAATATTTATGTCAGCAACCTAGGATATCGGATGGATGGTTCACAGTAGCACTATATGGCGGGCCCCAGCTAAGGCAAGATTCCTTTTGGTTTAAGATGAAGACAAGGATTTTAATTCTTAGCGGCAGGAACTGCCTCCTGCTGTGTCAGAGCCTCATATCTTTGATTTCCTGTGTTCCAGATAGCTGTCTCTGCTGCCTCTACTGTCCCACGGGCTCGCCATTAGGTCACTTCATACAGTACTTAGGGCACTAGAGCAAGACTTAAATGTTCAAGGCTGTGTCATTATCTCCTGTGTGACCTTGAGAAAACCCCAGCCCATCTCACATCCTTGCATCCAAATGGTGAAATACCCTTCCCCTACAGGAGATGCATTACTTAGGCTGCCAGCAAGAGCATTAGGAGGTGGGGAGCGAGTTGGAAAACGGAGTCCCTTCTCCCACTCTGGAGCCCCAGTGCAGGGATTCACCTTGAATGAGTCTCCGTGCCACTTTCTTTCCTCGTTATTTGCCCCGATGCCTCGGAGACCCGAATTTCTATAAAAGGTTACTGTTATATTCCTCTGCTGTCCTCTCCCCTCCCCTCCCCTCCCGGCTGAAAGGAGCACTTCCGGGAGGATCAAAAAGTGCATCCCGCAGACGCCCTCTGCCTCTCCGTTGTGCCCTTGCTCTGAAACTTCCTGAGAATCAGCTGAGCTGCAGAGTTGTCCCAGTCGTACCAGCATGCGGGGATGGAGAGGGAAAATCAGTACGAATGGGAAAAATCTGAACAAGATGCTATTATTTTTATTATATTCATTTCTGCAATTATTATTATATAGACTAGTTAATAACATGATAAGCCTTTGTGACATGTTAAGACCAATTATTACAGTGTATACCAGACCCAGCGCACAGCAAATCAGATAAACTTTACAGGCTGCAATAGAGCCCAGACTATTGCAACTGAGTCAACATGCACTATGGAATCACAGTGATTACTTGATTATCCTCTACCGAAATTTTAAAAGAGCATCAGGCTTACCTGTGACGTCAACCTTGAAGGTCAGCTTCTGGCCAGCAGCCTCACAGGTGTACTCGCCAGCATCTTTCTTTTCCACCTGACCCACCACCAGCCGCCGCGATCTGCCCTCTGACTCCACCTTGAACTTCTTGCTTGAGGTGATCAGCTTCCCCTCCTTGTACCATTTCACCTCGGTCTTCTCCTGGGCCACCTCGCAGCTCAGCGTGGCGTTCTCTTTGAGGGCTGCCTGCACCTCCTTCTGCACTTTGTCTTTGTGGTCAAATACATCATCTGCTAGATTGGAGAGAAGGAAAAATCTAGAATCTTTTTTTCTTTTAATGCTTCCCCATTATTCTGTAAACCTTTGCTTAACCAAATCTAAATCCGACTGCATCAAGGTTACTAAAAGTGGATCTGTCAGTGCTACCAGTGGTTGTTTCAGGAGGTTGGAGGGGACACCAAACCAGCAGAAGATTTACAGTCTTCCTCTCCTCTCTCACTAAGTATATATTCATGAATATGTGAGGGAGAAATGGCCTCACTTCTTTGTTCCGCAGCTGGATCCAGCACAAAAGTCCTCACACTTCACAGCAGAACATAACTTCTAGTATTTTGGGAAAGATCACGTTACCCACAGCCAGCTGCTTGGAGGTGTCTTGCAGCTTTCTGTGAAGCGGGTGGTGATGGACATAGCTTGATCCAGAATGAAATACAGCATGGACTATGACCCTGCCTTATTATGGCAATGATTACTCTCAGGCCATGAAAGCCGCAAAAAAGAATGACAGGATGGGCTTTCAAGTTTCACTTCCACCTTGCAACAGAGTCTAGGTTCATGGAAGGTTAAGACATGTTTCCAAACAATTTCAGTGAAATCACAGAATCACAGAATCACAGAATCGTTTAGGTTGGAAGGGACCTCTGGAGATCATCTCGTCCAACCTCCCTGCTCAAGCAGGGTCACCTAGAGCATATTGCCCAGGATCACATCCAGACGGGTTTTGAATATCTCCAGCGAAGGAGACTCCACCACCCCTCTGGGCAACCTGTTCCAATGCTCTGTCACCCTCACAGTGAAGAAGTTTTTTCTCAGGTTCAGTTGGATTTCAGTTGGATGGGTTTCTTCAAATTTACCTCAATTGGAGGTAAATTTGAAGAAACCCATGATACTTTAAAGCTTTGTCTCCAAGTTCCTGTTGTATGGGGTTTTCATTGGGAGACTGTCTGGTAGATTATGGTTTAAATAAACCAACTGTAAAATGAAGAAAGGTTTGCGGAGTCAGAGTTAAGAAAATGCTTGTGAAGGCACTGGCAGAAACAGTTTGCTTCCAAACAGTTCCTTGCTGCTGCTAACTTGGACAGCGAGCAAGCTTCCAGCAGAATTATGGTGCCTGATCTTTAGGCGTACACCAGCTTCCCCTCATATGATATGTGTCACGAGTACACCCTCATGTCATGTGCTCCAGCCCCCTATTATCATGGGGCCCTCCACTGGAGTTGCTCCAGTAGCATCTTGGATTTCCAGATGTAATAACTGGCAGATTTCTTTATCAAGCAGATATTGAATTAACAAAAGTAATTGGATTTTAGTCTTGGTTTTGGCATATCCCAAGGACATCATTTTAAAAGCTGGGCACAGGAGATAACCTTGGATCTAGTGATGATAAGATGATCTACTTTAAAGTGAATGGAGGGATTAACAAAAATATCTCTGTAATACACTTATTTAAAAGTGGCATATTGGATTAATTACAAGAACTGATCAAAGAAGAAAAAAGTCATTTGTTCAAAACTCAATGTGGGATCTGATATCTTCAGAATCTTTATCATAGCCAATGGAAGAATGGGAAGGAAAGGACTGGCCAGCTAAAAAGTCATCTAACTATCCTTTAAAATCCTTTAAAAAGGCAGAACACAAATAAGGAATGGAAGAAAGCACAGCTCTGCAGCTGTGTCTCTGAGGTCAAGAACTGTAGTGGTAAAGCAAGATTTGCCAAAAGTCAGGCTCGATCCAAGCTTGTGAAGGAAGTTAAAATAGATAGCAAGGGATCCTATAACACTAGAAACAGAAGTAGGCAAGGAAAGACGTGAGGCAATGATGCAAAGACAGTAGGCTTCAGGTTTCAGAGCTCTTTGTATCACAGTTCCAAAGACAACTAGCAAATGTTCCTAGAAAATATTTTCTTATAGAGTTCTATATATCTATACACATATATTTTCCTATAGTTCCTATATATATTTTCCTATTGTTCCCTCTGGATCTCACACTCAGCCTAGGTAGGTATTTTTGCCTACAGAAACAAACCAATAGAGGTTATAGAGCTACCAGTGGAAAGAGT